TTTTCTTATGTTGATTAGAAAATTTATTTTTTGCCATCACTTGTACAATTTTATGTGGCCCACATCTTTTATTTATGTTTATTTATTCTATTGTGGGGTGTATTTATCATCTTTTTATGTTATGTATCATGTTTATTATATAATTTTGAAAAAAAATATCATTTATGGATTAATGAAAATGTGTATATTAACGTAATATACGACATTTAATAAGACTCGGTGAGTATTGTTATTATTATTATTATCATTTCTAATATGGCGTCACTTGTGCAAGTCGTTCTGCTACCACATCTCACATTTATGTTTATTTATTCTACTGTGGGTGTATTTATCTTATTTATATGTTATGATCGTGTTTATTATATAATTTTGAAAAAAAAATCATGGATGGATTAATGAAAATGTGTATATTACCGTAATATACGACATTTAATGAGACTCGGTGAGTATTGTTATTATTATTATTATCATTTCTAATATGGCGTCACTTGTGCAAGTCGTCTGCTACCACATCTCACATTTATGTTTATTTATTCTACTGTGGGGTGTATTTATCTTATTTATATGTTATGCATCGTGTTTATTATATAATTTTGAAAAAAATATCATGGATGGATTAATGAAAATGTGTATATTAACGCAATATACGACATTTAAATGACTCGATGATTATTATTATCATTACTAATATGACGTCTGGAGACATAAGACACTTACCAATTTTAATGTGTACCTGCATGCCAGCACAGTATGTAAGTTTATTTAGGTACAGTATACAAAGTATAATTATCAGAGTATATATAAAAATATGAAATAACTTTTAAAAACATTTGAAATTTTGGAGTTTCCAGACAAAATGGAGAGACTTTAGTGCTTACTGAGCTCATGGAGAATGTAAACAAACGGGGTGGGGCACGGTGACCGTATCAGAAAGTCAGGTGGGGGGAGCCATATAGCGAGTTTTGGTCATAATTTGAAATGTCCGTATTAGCGGAACGCCGTAAAGTGAAACGCCGTAAAGCGGGGCCTTCCTGTATACATATATATATATATATATATAATATAATATATATATATATATATATATATATATATAAATATATATATATATATTATTTATAACAATAATAACAGTAGAAAGAAGATGAAGATGAGTAAGATGAATAGATAATGCAAAGTCTAGCACCTTCATTAGAGCTATTACTGAAGATACTTGCAATAAAATATTATAGGTAACATGTATGATTGTAATTTATTTTAACCTTATCAAGGCATAAGAAAGAGGATAAAAAAGCATTCAAGATATGATGTAGGGCGTAATGACAGCATTTTGTTGGACTATGAACTAGTAGATAAAACCTGTTTTGTAGACTTCAGGATATACTTGTTTATAAAGGGGACACAGATATATCAGATCACTTTTTAGTTGTAGCTACAATGGTTGATGGGATGCAACATAAATGGAAGCAGCAAGTAAGAGAGAGGGAGGAAGCAGTTAGGGTAAGATATAAACAACAATTGGAGGATAGATGGGCTAATGAGAGTAATGGGGTAAGTTTAAGAATATAGTGTTAGTGTTTATAAGAAGTTTGTGGTTACAGGAAAGTGGGTGCAGGAGGGAAGAAGAGTGATTGGTGGAATGATGATGTAAAGAGTGTAGTTAGAGAGAAAGTTAGCATATGAGAGGTTTTTACAAAGGAAGGGATGAATATATTGAGAGAAAAGGTGAGGTTAAGAGAGTGGCAAAGCAAGGTAAAAGGAGAGCAATTGAGAAAGTGGGAGAGATGTTATCAACAAATTTTGTTGAAACAAGAAAAACTTTTGGAGTGAGATTAATGAATTGAGGTAAGGTACCTAGAGACAGGTAGAGAGCGTGCATAGTTTCTTTGTATAAAGGCGAAGGAGAAAAAAGAGAGTGTAAAAATTATAGAGAAATATGTTTGTTGAATGTATCTGGAAAAGTGAATATCAGAGTTATTACTGAAAGAATTAAAAGTAAGAGAAAGAGCAGGATAGCAGATGAACAAGGAGACTTTAGGAAGGGTAGGGGATGTGTAGACCAGGTGTTTACAGTGAAGCGTATAGGTGAGCAGTTTTTAGATAAGAGTAGGGAGGGTTTGTGGTATTTATGGATCTGGAAAAGGCATATGATAGCGTGGGTAGGGGGCAATGTGGCAGGGATTATTTCCCATTAAACCTAGGCCTCATACAGGGATGTGTGATGTCACCATGGTTGTTCAATATATTTACAGGTGGAGTTGTAAGAGAAGTGAATGCTAGGGTGTTGGCGAGAGGTGTGCGGGTTAAAAGATAAAGAATCTAACACAAAATGGGAGCTGATGCAGTTGCTCTTTGCTGATGACACTGTGCTCTTGGGAGAGTCTGAAATGAAATTGCAGAGGTTGATGGATGAAATTGGTAGAGTATGTAAAAGAAGGAAATTAAAAGTGAATATAGGAAAAAGTAAGACTATGAGGGTAACGAAAATATTAGGTAATGAAAGGCTGGATATCAGACTGGAGGGAGAGAGTATGGAGGAGGTGAATGTATTCAAATATTTGGGAGTGGACGTGTCAGCAGATGGGTCTATGAAAAATGAAGAGAATCATAGAATAGACAAGGAGAAAAAGGGTGAGTGGTGCACTGAGGAGTCTTTGGAGACCTAGAGTCTATCTGGAGAGTATTCAGGGGAGCAACGCCCCCGCGGCCCGGTCCACGACCAGAACTTTATCCATGGAACTAAAGAGGGGAATGTGTGAAAGTATAGTTATACCAACGATCTTATGGGTGTGAAGCATGGGCTGTGGATGTTGCAACGAGAAGGCTGGAGGCAGTGGAGAAGTCATGTCTGAAGGCAATGTGTGGTGTGAATACAATGCAGAGAATCTGTAGTTTGGAGTTTAGGAGGAAGTATGCGATTACGATAACAGTTATCCAGAGAGCTAAGGGGAGGTTGTTGAGGTGATTTGGACATGTAGAAAGGATGGAACAAAATATATTGACTTCAAGAGTGCATAAATCTGTAGTGTGGGGGGAAGGTGGCATAGAGGTCGGTTTAGGAAATTTTTGAGGTTGGGGTAAAGGAGGTTTTGTGTGCGAGGGGCTTTGACCTCCAGCAAGCATGTGTGATCATGTTAGATAGGAGTGAATGGAAACAAATGGTTTTTAGGATTTGACATGCTGTTCGAGTGTGAGCAAAGTAACATTTATGAAGGGATTCAGGGAAACCGGCAGGCCGGACTTGAGTCCTGGAGATGGGAAGTACAGTGTCTACACTCTGAAGGAGGGGTGTTAGTGTTGCAGTTTTATAACTGTAGCATAAGAGCGCCTCGGGCAAACAAGGGATGGAGTGAGTTATTGTGAAAGTTTTTATTTTTAGGGCCACCCTGTCTTGGTAGGAGGCGGCCGATGGGTTAATGAAAAAAAAATGCATATATGCACCGCCTACATGGATATTTTGACTATGAAAGCTGCATTTGGTTAATAGTTGTGACATTTCCAGCTCATTGTTGCTAGACTCAAGTTATATATCTACTTCAAAAACTACTATACCTCGTATCATTTCGCTTCCACATCATTTCAAACAACTAGCATATGTAGCAGACTACTTAACACATTTTTAACCAATTATTTAACATGTTTTTAGGCTCAGAAGAGCCTTTAACCTCAGATTTTAGTTAATCTTTTCACGAAAGATAGATATAGTTTTATCAAAACACTTTTGTGCAGTATCATTGGTCATGCAGTGAGTTGAATGCCAAATATCAAATTGAACCTTATCACGCAAATTACCAATGCCAGAAAAGAAAAGAAAGTCACTGGCTACTAGGGGAAGAACAATTTTCGCTCCTGTTATCTGAACATGTCTTCCAACTCCAAAGTTAACAAATTTGGGTAAATACATATTTGAGAACAAATAATCATATTGAGGAGTTGGTGGAGCTGCAGAGAGTTCATCAAGTGAGACGTTCTCTGGGAGAATCATTCTCCTCATCACTATATCTTTAAATACTTGCTTGTTTTCTAGTTTTTCTCGGAATTCAGTGTCGAACTGCTTAGCATACTTCCAGAAGTTATCCTTTACATTGTAAGGGGTTGATATGGTGTGTGATACTGCAGAAGTATGATAACCCATTGGCAACACTTTGGAATAGCCTGTCATGTAACGGCGAAGATCAATGGAATGTAAGCTGTTAATATTGTAGACGTCGCGTAACACGCCAGCCTCCCTTACTAGCTCAACTAATGCAGTGTTCACTATACCAATAAATCCTGAGTTAAAAGAGATGTCATGAGATCTACACATGTCATAAACTTCTTAACTTCAGAGGTGTCTAGTATGCCACATTCTAAGTAATCTGTCGTAACATTAGTTGCTTCTGGAGTACCAAATGCTTCTATGAGTAGAGGTGTGTGTTCATTATTTTTAAGTTCATTAAGAAATAATTTCAACTTTTCGGGATCCTTTTCAAGATCTACTTTCACTTGTCGTTCAATCTCTGTTGTCTGACTGTGGTCTGTAAGTTGTCCAAGTTGCTGATTATCAATAGGTTTTTTGCTGATGTAATCATCAAGAAGCTTCACAAACAACGTAGTAATTGAAAACAAACTAGGACCATCAATTACACCATGATGAAAATTAAACATCAATTTGTTCCTATATGGAAACTTTTCGTTCAATTCCGGCCAGATACAAGGGGTGTCGGTTGGCGACGGCAGAAGTCGAACTTGCCAGAGTGGTCCATCAGTCAAGTTGAAGTTAGTGTCGACCATAACCTGCCATTCTTTTAATGAATCTGGACCGTCAACAACCTGAAGGACAGGATGAACAAGATTAATACAAAGCTGAAATTTTATGACAGGAAGATAATGAAAGGTAATCTTGAAGTATTTATGGCTACGAACACCTGGTACAGTGTTTTAAATGAGTCATATAACAGAATCATGATTCATCTTGTCGAGAAACTTACATATACATGTATGTCAACTAATCCAATTCTCCCAGATTACTGATATCCAAATACTCGTGATAATTTTATCAGATATATAAAACCTAAAATAATTAATCAATGTCCCTATATAACTGCAACGAATAACCAAAAAAGTTTGATAAAAATAAACACTTTGATTACATAACTTGCAATATAATCTCACTAGATTCCCATTAACGATTTGTTATTTATTCACCAGAATAGGATAAAAACACAAAGGAATGCTTAATCAGTATTAATTAGATAACAATTGTCCTTCAAATTGTTAGTGAGAGATTATTTTCAAGTTCCACTAGTCATTAATATGACGACACCTGGAAAAAACAGAAATAAGATGGAACACAAAAGAAAGCTAAGTAGTAAGTATTTAATATATGACCTGCATACTGACAACAGGCAATTATTTTGATGGTGAAGCAGTAGTATTTGACCTCCATACTGACAACGTGGTCTTCCCTCCTAGCCATAGATGTTTTCTAGCTCATCTGTGTTCAACCATCTTGCAAATTTTGAGACAACCATTCAGTACTGTTGAAGAAATGCTTGGTTTAGTCAATACTATAAATGTCGTATAATTGTTTTCTTAATATTCCAAGTTAAACTTTACTCTGAAGTGTTTGCACATTATTGCTCGAGTAAAATCACTCTTTCAAAGATATTTTATGATGTAGGAAACTAGGGCTACTGATCTGTAATTTTTAGTTAGTTCTCTATTTCTTCCTTTACACAAAGGGGCTATTTAAGGTCTCTGGTATTACACCTTGATGATGAAGTCTCGTACTAGTGGTATTTCTCACTTTTTTTTATATGAATAGTAAATTCTATGACTCTGGTCAAGGTGCTGAGTCAGTGGACATGTTTTCAATTTCTTTCTCGAATTCTTTTTAATTAGTAATAATATCAGTTAGTTGGTCTGCACTGCCTTCCGATGGAATGAAAAGTGTTTCTGCATTCTCCACTCTGCTGTCATTTAGTGGGATGCTGAACACCGACTCTTATTGTTCTTTTAGAAATTCGCTCATTTCCTGTTAATCGTCAGTATACGAATCTCCTTTCATTCAGGGTCCAGTTCTACAGGTATTTCTTAGCTTGGATTTTGCATGTGACTGGAATATTTGGGGTCGCTTACAGTATACTGGATGACCTTTCGTTCCCTCCGTGCTTCATACATACTACTACTACTACTACTACTACTACTACTATACTACTACTACTACTACTAACTAATAATAATAATAATAATAATAATAATAAAATAATAATTATATAATATTATTATTATTAGTAGTAGTAGTAGTACTAGTAGTAGTAATAGTAGTAGCAGTAGTAGTAGTAGAAGTAGTAGGCAGCAGTAGTAGTAGTGGTAGTAGTAGTAGTAGTAGTAGTAGTAGTAGTAGTAGTAGTAGTAGTAGTATTTGTTATTAAATATCAAATTATTTCCAGAAATAAAGTTGAATTTGCTTTTCATTATTTTACTTGTTTCGTTGTCTTTGTAAAACTTTTGAAAGAATGATACTTAACAGAATGTACAACAGAATCAGACACCAACTTTCCCCCTACCTATATGGGTTCATGAAAGGTAAAAGTGTGCAGAACTGTATTTCCACCTTCTCACTGCCTAGTTTTACCACATTTCCTGATCTAAAATCTGAATTTGATATCGTGAATAGAACCGTTATACTACATGAACTAGCCAAAATGAATATTGGTGGTAGCTTACTCTGCTGGATAATAGGATACCTGTCAAATAGACTATCCTCTGTCCTCTACCAAGGCTTTAGAAGCGAGTCTAAAGAAATATCCCTAGGTACACCGCAGGAGGAGTTCTCAGTCCCATGCTATTTAATATTCTGATTAATGCTCTCCTAAATGCTCTACCTGCCTCACCTAAACATATAGCTATAAGTTATGCTGATGACATCATGATCCACAAAACAAGGCATAAGAAGATGAGTACCATTCTTAATGAAGTTCAAGCAGTTTGTAATCGGGCTTTGGCCTCATAATATCTTTCCCCTAAAAAAAAAGATATTAACAACAAACGACATACCCCACCCATCCATTTGCAGGGTGAAAACATTAGCTACGTTAAAAATTACAGATATCTTGGTGAAGATGTACCCTTTAACAAATCCACTATACCAGAGCTAAATAAGAAATGTAAAGATAGGCTAAATGCTCTCAAAGCTGTTGTGGTACAACCCCAACTATGTTTCTAAAGTGAGAATCGTGAGAAATGATGTACATAGCCTATGTTAGGTCCTTAATTGATTATGCTGCTCCCCTGTTGATATTAGCTAGAGAAAGTTCTCTCCGATTGGAGTTAATGCAAAATGAAGCTCTCAGAATTATTCTTGGCTTCCCCAAATCTACAAAGGTTCTTAATATGAGGAAGGAGCTTGGTATTTTTTAAATTTATTACCTCGGATTTTGAATTTTAAGAAATGAACCCGACACTGTCACAATGAACCTTACTAAGTGTCTCAAAGTTAATAAACACAGATCTAAATGGATTGTGAAAACATGCAATTGCATTAAGTTTTATAACCTGCATGAACTGTATCACTGTAGACAAAAAGAGCATTTCAACCCTCCATGGAAGATGTGCTCATTTAATATCACATACCTGAAAGTCCCTCCCAAGAAGCTCATTGCTAGTAATTCCTTCCTTAAATCACTTGTAAAAACAACTGCTCAAGAAGAAATTTCTCGCCTAGCTGGTAGTAATAAGTTATCACAAATTATATACACTGATGGATCTAAACAGGAGTCTTCTGACAGGGCTGCATCTGCTCTTGTTGCCACCTCCCTAGTTATGAACGATAATAAACTTGTTGAACTAGGCATAAGAAATTACAACTTGGCGTCTACATTGCAAATTGAATTGTTTGCAATCGTAATGGCGCCAAAGCTAACTTATGACACTGAGCCTTACTCTATCATCATTACTGATTCTATGTCATCACTGAATGCTCTTAACTCATAAAATGACTTCAACAACATGCTCATTGGAAAAGCCAGGTGTAGACACTCAAAAATCAGGGACAAAGGAATTAATGCACAATTGCTATGGATCTCATCACACATTGGATTACTCCTTCGTGATAAAGTTGATATGTTAGCCAAGAATAGTACCCAGAAGGAGAATGTAGAATATAACTTCGGTATATCTGTGTCTAGCATTAGGAATAATATTAGGAGAGAAGTAAATAATGAAAATGATTGTTATAAGAATGCAATTAGAAGCCTGAGTAGATCTATAACCCACTATGATAAAATGAACATAGATAAGTATGTTTATGGAGCAACGTGCAATGTGAAACAGACTGACTGATGTTGTAGTGGCCAGGCTTAGGTTTGGTTACAAGTACTGACTGATGTTGTAGTGGACAGGCTTAGGCTTGGTTACAAGTACTTCTGGCAGTTTGGGAGACACATAGAGATGATGATCAAACTAAATGCAAATTATATGATCAGGCATATGGTCACTGTCTTGAACACTATGTGCTTAATTGTCCACTTATTGAGGAATACAGAGACAGACAGTATAATAACCTATGTGACATGTCAGGATATCTAATTAATGAAAATAAGACACCAGATATACTAAGCAAATTTCCTAAATTTGTTTGTAACAGATAAGTGAACTATAGACACTTAGATATAAATCCATATGTACCCCTGTTAACCCTTTGGGGCCTAGTTCCTAGGTCTTTTGTGTATCCATATGCTTTTGTGCTACCGTCCACAGGATGGATATGGGTTGCACAATAAACTAGCCACTTCGGTGGCAAAATCTAAAAAATCTTGAATATATCTAGTAAAATTTACAAAATCTTCAATTATCCGAGTAGGTCGTCATAATATATCGCTGAAGACAAGTGGTAACTCGTCTTAGTGAACACAATATATAGTGTATCATTATATTATGGCTGGAAAAGCTTCTATTTCAAACAAGTGAAAACGAAACTTTATTTAGAGGCCAGAAAGCGTAAAATAATATATAAGGAAATATATTCGACAACTGGTATACATATTTTATCGCTAACAGTGTATATTAAATGATAATTTACCTTAAAGTCTAAGGCAGGTTTGGGCATGGAACAATGCCACCACTGGTCGTCCCGCTGACGAAAACATGTCCTCAACACCTCAACTTTGCTGATAACAACAACATATTGTTAATTCCTTTATTACACTTTCCACTGATGTTTTACTAGCGTTTATTATAGTTCAATATTAAACCATATTATATTTTACTAATTAAAGCATCCAAACATAAACTTTTAATATGATTTACAAATTTTCTTTTGTACAAATAAAGCCAATTAGAGTGAAAGGAAAACGAATGGTAAAAACCGTTTGAAAATTTCCTAAAAAATAAAACTTTTTATCCAAATTTTACTCTTTATTACTAAAGAATTTTAACTTCCCTTTAAAAAAAGTCCGGGATTAACAATTTTATTTACAAAAACACTCTGTTTATATTTCTTTTATTTGAGGTTAAGTTGGGGGAGGTTTTCATTGAAAAAGATTCAAAAATAAATTTTTGGGTATATTTATAAAAAATAAAAAAATTATTAAAAGGGTTTTGGATAAAGAAAAATTAAAGGTTAAAGTCGTTTTGTGGATTTATTTTTCTTGAAATGTTTCTTAGTAAGGATAGTTGTCTTAGAATATAGGTTTGATTAAGGATAAGGTTTGAGTTGTGATGGTGTCTTGAGAAATTTGATGAGTGTTTTGAAATGGGGAGTGCCCTGGGGAAGTGATGAGTGTCTTGAGTAATGATGGGTTTTAAGTAAGTGTGAGTGTTTTGTTTAAATTGATAGTGTTTGAGTAATGATGAGTGTCTTGAGAAGTGTGGTGTCCTGGTAAGTGATGGGTCTTGATATTTGAGAGTGTCTTGAGAAAGTGATGAGTGTTGTTGAGAAAGGGAATTCCCAGCAAATTTTTAAAATTTTGGAAAAAAACTTAATTTAGAAAGACAACTCATCGCCTGCACGCCCCCCTGCGAGAGGTTTGAAAAGGGTGTCGAGTTTTCCTCAAGGGGTGAAATGGTTATAATTTGAAGTTAAAATTCCCCCTGGGGGGTGTTATGTCACATATTTCATTCACTGATTGCTGACAAAACTTACTTGTGTGGATTTAAAAAGTCCCCCCCTTACTGCGCTATAGGTTGATTAAAAAACTCCTTGTGACTCAAAAACTGCTCAGTCCCCAGTACTAAAGAAATTCGAAACCCCTTGCTTTGTAGCTGAGCTATGGTGTTTTCACACTTGGCAGATTTTGGTGACTTGATGAAGTAAGTGCCCCTTGGAGTCCACGTCTTCCATAGTCTAGGAAAACGCACACTGGTAGATTGTTCCAAGATTTGTCTTTATTTTTCCCAAAATCTTATCACTAAAAAAAGCTGACCAACTTCTCTGTAAGTGTTTTCGTTTTTTGTGGGGCACTTTGTTCACACTAACGACAGATCGTTTTTTTGTTGGTTATCCTGGCTTATGTCACTCTCATTTGGAGTCAAAAAGTAATTGAAGAGCCACAGCCCCCAGCGTGCGCCCCCAGCAAAAAGGGAAAAAGCTGCCCTTGTACTTTTGCTTCCTTGCCACTTCCTCGATGAAGCAAAGCAATGTTTTAAATTTTGCTGTTTAAGATAAAAAAACCCCCACTATCTTTATATGGTAAAAAGGGGGAGTGGGTTTTCCTTAATTGCCCAAGCAAAAGGAAAGAGTTTACTTCTTTATTAAAATACACTCTGAACATGGACTGAAAGGGTGGGGTTCGTTGACAACGGTCGTATTTGGTACTGTTTGGGGTCAATTCCCCCCCCCCCCCTGTAGCGTAAAAAAAGTATTTGCCCCTCTGAGAGGGCGGGGGTCCCTCGGGGCTGAAAAGGGTGAAGGGTTTGAAGGGGGTGTCCCCCCTCCTGGAGAAAATTTCTCCAAATGGCGGGGGCGGAGGGGTCGGCGGGTTTAAAATTTCATCATTAAACTTAAATTTGATTTTCCCCACTCGCCCCCACTGTTGCTTGTTTTTTTCTGAACGGTTAGTCTGGGGTTTCTGGAGAATCATAATTTTGTTTTTAACACTGTGTAATTCTAATGGCATAGTTTTTTTTTTGTCGCTTTTTTCACACCCCTTTTGCTTAAAACATCAATGTCCTGTTGTTTCCCTTTGCTCGGTATATGGTCCAATTTTTCCCAAATTTGGGCCATGGGACTTGGAATCAATGTAAAAACCCCTAAGTCACAGGTTTTAAAGGATTTTGATTTCAGGAACACCAGTCCATAGAAGTGCTCTTCTGGGGTAAGATAGTCTTCTCTCCAAAATTTTCCCAACGTTCAACACTTTTTTAGGTGTTTAAATTTACTCTTAGTTGCTCAGGTTCGAAATAATTTGGGATCTCTTGTTTTTTGTCATTCTGGGGAAAAACGGGTTTCGAAAAATTTCTGCCTTGGAGTAAATGAGATGGATTTAAACACTTCAAATTGTCCGATATGGAAAATTAAGTTAGAAGTCTGTTTTTGACTCTATTTTCTAATTCTGTCCAATGTACGAATTCTTCTAAGTCGTTTATTTGACAATGAAGAGTCTTTTTTAAACAACTTTTTTACAATCCCGATATTTTTCACAAATCCCCCGTGCCAGGAGATTTGGGGAATGTTCTCCCAAAGAAAACTGCGTTGATTCAGCATCTGTTTTACTTTGGTTGTCAAAAATCTTGCTTATATAAGCGCCCAGCAACAAAGTTCGTTGCTTATCTGAAATTTTGTCTGGGCATGCCCCTTTGGCTGCAAACCTTTTGAATAATTTGATAAAGGTTTTAGCAGACATGTAGGGCTTTTAGATTATTTAGTTGTGCACAAGTAACAAAAAGTGTACACCTTGATGGGATTTGTCAAATGTTTGGTTAAAAATTTTTCGTTCCCGTGTAATTACACTGCACCTAAAAAAGGAAATGATTGACAAAACCTTTCAGAGGGGTTTGGGGTGAACCCGGGTACTGAATACTCGATTCGTATGACGACAAGTAATACAGCCCCCTTTTTTGTTTTTCACCTTTGTCGACCTTGGGGTATCCAGTAGGATTGTGTATATGAAAAAGTGTGTCACTTTCCCCAACTTTTACACGTTATGTGGGCGTTTTGACAATCGTTTTGTTAGCAATGATTTTGGGGATCAAAAATTGGATGTATGGCCCCTTTTTGGTAGTGAAGAATTATAATTTTTCCTGACATCTTATAAATTTTCTGAGTCGGATAAAAGTCCAAAGAATTAATTAACGGTTTCTTTGGGGGTTTTTTTTGTGTTTTTAGAAAAAATTTTTTTTTCTGTAGGGAAAAAAATTTTTCTGTAATAGTTTCACCCCCTATTTAATGGGTTCAAGACATTATAATTGGTTTTTTTCCCCTTTAAAAAATTTAAAAAACAAGAGGTAACTCTTAAGGTTTACCAAAGGAGTTTTATCCTAATGACTATTTTGTTTTGTCTGAGTTTTAACAACTTATTTTGCTGTGTTCAAGCAGACTGTTTTTTGGATAAAGTGAGCTTTTTTTCTGGGCCGTTTTTTCATTAGGAGCCAGTTGGTCCGGGTAATTTTTATCACAAATTTCTTGAGGGGACACCGGGGGACAAAATGTCAGCGGAAATTTTTCTTGGGTAGAGAGTGGAGAAAAAATAAACTCCTGCATCTCTTTTTTTCTGTACTCTGTTCTGTCATAAGCCCAACTTACTCTTTTTATTTTTCCCTGGAGAAAGGGTTCATTTTCATCCCGATCACGGTTTTTTTTAGGGATGATCAAGTACTTTGTTGAGATAGACAGCTTTTTGTCCTACTAGGTGCTGTCAGTTCCAATTGTGGTATGTTCTGCCCTTAAGGGTGCTACCCCCGGCCTTTTAAGAATTAGTGTACTTTTTTCAGCATTACTCATGTAAGTACAGGCCATAACCCTTTGGGTTGACGCATCACAGACACATGTAATGTGTATTGTTTCCCTTTGACCTTTTTTTCTGGGAAATTTTTAAATTTTATGAAGTTGTTTTTTAATCCATGGTATTTATCAAATGCTTGACCATTTTTTAGGGGCAAGTTTCATCCCATCCAATTTTTTAGTTTCCCTGCTCTTGCATAAATAATTTTTCCCCCTTTTTGGTAATTGGTGAGACGAGTCCCTGAGGATCAAAAAAATTTTGATACTCTGCAGAAATACGTTTTTGTGAGTGTACTGCATGATTTATTGTTTTTTTTTGGACTCAAAATTCTTCCTGTGTTTTCCAATTAGTCCCGCATATTGTTGCAATAGGAATTTAACTTAGGGAAATTTTCTTTGATAATTCCCTTAATGCTTTGAATTGTATTCCCCAAACCTTGAGGCATATTTGTTCTTTTATTCCTTGTTTGTTCTCTGTATAAAGGGTTTTAAAACCTCCCCTTTTTTTTCAATACCTTTAAGATTGTCCACATAGAAACTTTTCTTTAAGATTTCTTTGAAAGGGGGCTTTAGTTTTTCAAATGTGTTTTGAGTGCTTTAGTAAGATTTGGGGGGAGTTCACCCAAAAAATATGTTTTTTAAAAGATAAGTTTTCACAGGACTTTGAGGACATGTGGGTTTTTAGGCCCAAATCGGGGGTATAATCTCTATCTATTTCTTGTAGTCCTATCTTAAGGGGAAAGTTAGGGGAATTTTTCCCCCCTGTTGGCATATGTGTTTGTGCGAAAATTTTATAAGCACGTCTCCAAGTTCTCAGTTAGTGAGGGTCCGGTCATCAGACAGTCATTAAGACTTGCTACATCTTTATTTGCCCTGCACTGCACATTATATACAACACGTAGTGGAGTGGTTTCAGAATCTTTTCTGACTCCATGGTGCGGCAGATAATGAGCTTCTGTCTTAAACTTATCTTCGACTATTTCCTCAATGAATTTATTGTCCAACTGTTCTTGTATTGATATTATCATAGACAGTCAGTACTCTGGATTCTTCCTGACTCATGTATTTGTGCTTTCATCTGTCCGAAAGCCATGCGATAATTGCTAGGCAGATGTGGTGGATTTAATTTCCATTGTAACCTAACCCAATACTGTCCATCTTTAAATCTGACAGTGTCCAAATATTGGTTATAAGTCTGAGACTCTTGTGGGCTTGGTTTATTTACGTCAA